ATTTTAATAATGTATTTTATCTAGCCCAAAATATTGTCACTTAACAAGTAATGGATATAGATATTTTTTTAAGATTTATTTATTTTTGCATACAAGAGCTGGGGTACAGGCCAGAGGTTTGGGGGATGAGAGGATTCACCAGAGACAGAGTAGGGAGCAGAACAGGCACATGGACTGAAATACACTGCTGAGGGGAGAAGCGGGCTAGGCAGGAGAGGTCCACCGTGCCATGTGGGGTAGCTCCCTGGCCGGGAATTGAACTCATGCTGCAGTGGCTGTGGAAGCTTCACAGGTTGCGTCTTAACCCCTTGCACCATGAGGGAGGTCCTGGATATAGTTATTAATGAGATATTTTACACCTTTTTTTTGCACTGTCTTGTCAAGCTCATGGTTTTTTGCACTCACGTTTCAGACATTTCAAGTACTAAATGGCTATGTGTGGTCAGCAGCTATCAGATGGACCCACACGGCTCTATCCTGCTGTCCTATTTTACTTTCTTCCTAGCACGTATCACCATCTAAAATATCCCGTGTATTTGATGAGCTATTTATTATCCATGTCTCCCACACAATATACATCCGTCCTGCCCCCCACAACGCCACACAGTAGGTGTCTGTAAATGTTTGGGGACAGACACAGAAGGCTGCCTGGGCCTGGTGCCTGCCCTCCGCCCCGGTCACAGAGCAGCACATGGAGGTCCACCCTGCAGGCTGGTGTCTGCTGCTCCCATCTAAGCCTCCTTGACTCAGTGAGGTGCTGGGGAAGGGCTCCCAGGTCCTTGAAGCAGCAAACTCCCATCTTCAGGCCAGCAGCAGGATCCCCCAAACACGTTCTCATCTAATTGGATTCCCAGCTTTTCCTTCCTCAATCCGGGCTGCGACTGCGGCTGTTTATAAACCTGCATCCTTGGAGGCTCCCAGAGCCCAGTGCACAGCTGGGGAAATCATTACTGTCTTCCCTCCAGGCCAGATGTCAGCTGGGCTGCTCCACCCTGCCCCACCCTGCCCAACCCAGCTGGGCCCAGCTGCCCTGCCACAGAGGACCCCTGGCTACTGTGCCTCCTTGCCAATGGCCCCAGGACACAGATAGGCTTTCCAATCTCCCTGTCCAGGTGACTTGAGCTTCCTTAAATATGGCTGTCCACAGTCACCCATTGCTGGTATTAATCAAGGTCCAAGAATTCTCCAGGGCCCAACCAGGTCCCAACCTTCCCTGTCCAATTAGAGAGCCCTCTCCCTCAGCCTCAGCCCCCAAAAGTGGCATCATCAAGGACTTTGGAGTCTTTCAGTCACTTCCTTTTGACTGGGCTCCCTAGTGACCCCTCAGGTGCTACTCAGCAATGACCTCCACAAAAGGAAACATGCATATAGCCCCACAATGGCCTCAATCTCTCCATCGCTAAAATGGGAAGGGAAGCCCTCACCCATCAGGGCTGTGAATTTATTCCTTTGCAGATTTATTCTGCAAAGGAACCCAGGAGTGAAGCTGTGAGACCTGGGAAAATGGGGCGGGGTGGGGGGAGGGACGTCGAGAAGGCTCTGCTCTGCTCCAATCCTGGCTCCACCCATGCAAATATTAAGGTTAAGAACACCAAATTCATCAAAGACTGGCTGCATGAACCTAGGACAGTTACACCTGCTTGGAGCCTCCATTGCTGTATCTATAAATGGGGAAGTAAAATAAAATGGAGGGGTCATTGTGGCCCCCTCCCGTGGTGGTGACAAGAACTTAGGGGGCTGATGCCTGAGCTGGAGCAGGGGTTTGTTAGACATGGGTTCTGCCCTCCCTCTGGCAGGAGCCCCTTGTCTGGTGCCTCCATGGTCTGGACAGGCTTCATGTCCCTCCTTTGGGACAAAGCCAGCCTGGTTTCCATCCCAGCCCCAGATTCGGCCTCGCACATGGGCGACTGTTCATCGTCGCACTCAGCCACCTCAGATGGAGAAACCTGAGACCCGGAGGCTGGCCAGGACTCTGTCAGAGGCAGGCGGGCCTGCTTTGAATTCCAGGGATGTGGAGGAAAGGGTGTGGATCCCCAGGAGGTGAGTCTGGTGGGATCCCCACAAGGAGGCCAGCCTGACGTGGAATGCCTTTCAGATTGCTGTTGGCCTGCGCTTGCTGGCAAGAGGACTGGCGTCAGAACTGGAAGTCCCTGCCTGGCACTGGCTGCAACAAAACTTTATCAGCCCCCAAATGAACAGATTCTCTGGGTGATAAGAGATTCTAGGGCAGACAAGAGACACAGACAATGGCAGACACTGGGTGGGAAGCCTGGCCAGGAACAATGCCAAGCAGAATTAGGGAGGGAAGGAGGTGTCCAGGATGGAGGGCTGGGAAGCCTGGACCCCAGCCAGGCAATAGAAATGGGTAAAGAGCTGTCCCTTTCCCACCTCAGCCATTCACACATGCACAGCTCCCCCCTCCACTTGCCTGCCAGTGGAGAGCCCCCCTCTCTTCTGTGCTCAGCTCAAATGCCACCTCACCCAGGAAGTTTTCCTGACTACTCACACCTGCCAGATTCCCCTGCACCCCATTTACCTCCAGAGCTTTTTTCATGGTGGTGATTCATTAACACGGTGCTAGATTTACTTTTAATGTTGGTCCCCCCTCCCCCTCAGAGACCAAGAGCTCCGCGAGGACAAGGACTGTGTCCATCTGTCTGTCCATCTTGTGAACCACAGCTCAGCTCCTGGCCCAGTGAATTATTTGCTGAAGAAGTGAATAGGCAGCCAGCACTGAGCTAAGCATACAGCTGAGAAATGAGAAAGATTGTGACTAAGACGAGCTCACATCTCCTTTCCCTGAGCCTCCACCTGCCCTGAAAGGGTGTCGCCTTTCCTGGTGGGTAAAGCTAAGCACTCAGTACTGGGTGGGAGCGCCGGACTCAGCATCCAGACGCTGCCCTCTCATTCTAGGCTTTTGTCATTCAAGGCCCGGAGAGGTGTGCTACCCTCTCAAAGAGATGAGGCCAGCTCACCACGGTGTTCCCAGGGGACTTGTACCCAATGCCCCTGAAGCCACTGAGCCAGGTCAGACCTAACTGACCTTGATGTCCCATGACCAGCCTTTGCCTCCAGCACAGCCCTTCCTCCCAGACCTGGGCCCAGCCACTCGCTCTTGCTGTACTTTCACCCGCACCAACTCCTATTCTAACTCCACTTTCGGTGCCTCTTCCTGCAGAAAGCTGATCCCGGTAACCCCTATCTAGCCCTGGTGAGGGGCTCGTCTTCAAGGGGGCAGGTAGACTGCTGAGTTCTAATTCTGGTTTTTTTTACTCCCAAGATGCGTGACCTTGGACAAGTTTTTCTCTGTGCTCTTATACCTTTCTCTGTAAAATGGGGGTTACTGAGCCTCCCCCCAGTGTGTGGGTGCAGTAAATGTGATGACGCATGAAAGCACTAAGCCAAGCACCAGGCACAGCTCAAACACCCTGTAGGTAGATATGGCTGGTACTGAGCCCTGGGGCAGGATTAGACCACCACTGAGCATGTCTGGGCCCCAGCCCAGTGCAGGGCACTGCCACTTGACAACAGCAGCTGCGGGGCCGACGAGGATCCCCACCCCTTCCCTGGTGAAGATCCTCAGGGGAGCTGGGTGAAGACCCTGCTGCCTCCTCCCTAACAGCCTGTAAAAGTCAACAGCCCAGTGCAAAACCACACATCCAGGAGCGGGAGGGGCAACACCTTGACAGACAAGTCTCTGCTCAGGGGGCCCAAACACAGCACCCAGTCCTGACTGGCCAACAACTGGGGGGGGGGGGGCACGGGCACTGCAGACTGTCTTACCCTTGGGGCCCAACTGGGGTCAGTCCTGAGCTCCATGACAGTAAGGGCTACCCACAGGGCCTGGCCAGCTAAGTAGAGCTCTGCCATCCCTCTCTCCATCTCCCAGCTGCACTTGGGCCTCGGTCCTCCTTGTCCCCGTTTCTGAGTGCTTCCACCCGACATGGGAGGGGTTCCAAAGCCACAGCCAGGTGGGTTGAGACCACAGACCTGGCCAGGTGTGCATTCATGCCAGGTACAAGTGTCACTGCAGGTGGAGTCCCAGAGCCTGCTGACATCAGGTAGGCATGAACAGGAAGCTCACACCCCTGAGCCCCAAGGCCCAAGGGGCTACCTTTAGTACAAGCCCCCTTACCCAGATGAGGCTCGGAGAGGGACCGGCCTGCCCGAATCAGGCTCCTCAGACCACATCACCCCAGGCTAGGGATCCCCAGGTCGCAGCACTCTGGCTTCCTCTCCAGCGAGTCTGCTGGCCAGCTGTCATCCATAGGCCCCTAGTGCCCAAATGACCCTTTAAACAGCCACCTCCGAGGTCCCTCTTTGGTGTCCCTGCAGACCCCAAAGCAAGGAGCTAGAACAAGTGGACAGTGGTCCTGTGTCCAGGATTGTGGTTCCCCCAGAGTCTAACTTCCTGGAGGCTGGGAGCATGGGGAGAGGAGCTGGGAAAACTGAGGCCCAGAAGTTACCAGCTTAAGGTTCCCCAGAAGGTCAGAAGCCTGCTCTGGATCTCTGACTGTGTACTTGACCCAGCTCTGGGCCCAGAGCCGCAACAACATGTCCCTGTCCAGCCAAAAGCAGCCAAAGCTAGTACCTCCTAGGCAAGACACAAGGAGGTGGGGAGGCAGGATGGGCTTACCTTCCTGCTGGGTCACAGTGCTGTGCTCCTGCTGGGAGGCAGCTGCCAAGGGAATGCTGTGGCAGGCCCCAAGAAGTCCAGGCAGGATTGGGTCATGGAAAGAATTGGCAGTCCTGAGCACCTGATCAGGGATAGCGCGGCAGGCAGGCTTATACCTCTGCTACCCCGGGCTGCCCCCTACAGGCCCCTGCCAGCCCTGCCCTATGCCCAACTAGGGAGGACAGCATCAAGGCAAACAGCCCCATATACCCTGTGATAGGTGGACAGTTAGGGCATCTCCAGGCCCCTTCCAGGCCTTAGATCATCCCCTCAAGCAAACTGACCAAGACATTCCTGGCACCAGCACTCAGGAAAGTCCAGAGAGATGGCACTGCAGGTGAGTGAGACCCAGGGCCCAGGGCTAGGCCACATACCTGAATTAAGGGCCAGTGGGATTCCCGGGCCCCCTGTGCTGTCCTCCCACCAGACAGAACCCCAGGTGGAGAGGGTGTTGGGCAAAGAGCCGTCATGAAGGCGGTGTTGCTCAGAGTGGGGTCCTGGTGAAGTGTGCACACCAGGAGTGGGGCTGGCTGGCTAGGGGCTCCTGGGCATGAAGGATCCAGAGAGGAGAGGAGACCTCAGACCTGTCGGTCTCTGTCCACTTTTACTTGCAATTTGAAGCCTTTTCTGCAGGGGGCCTTGTCCCAGCCTGCCTGTCCAAGGACAGTCTGACTCTGGAGAGGGTGAGGAAGGTGTGTCCCCTTCCCAGTTCCTCCTTGGCCTTGGGCAGGGCAACTGGCCACCTGCTGTTCTCACTACCTTTGTGATGTTCCCCGGGTTCGAGAGCAACTTCTTGTCTGAGGTGGGGAACATCGTCTTTCACATCAAGCCCCAGTTCTCCAGAGCCGCCGTGGTAGGCAACACCTTCCAGGGCGGCCGCTGGGGCCAGGAGGAGTGTCCAGTGCCCTCTCACTGGTGCTGCGGGAGCCCTTTGAGGTGATGGGAGCTGGGTGAGACCCTTGGGGGCTGGGAGGCCTGTGGGGTAGAGTGGGCAAGGCCCATAGGGGCGAGGAGGCCTTGAGAGGGGCAGGTGCAGCCCATCGGGGCAGGGGAGGCAATGGTAGGGAGCGCTACCCCAGCACTGTGTGTGAAGGGTGCTGTACAGCTTGGCTCCAGCGGCACTGGATCCCGCCAGGGGCCGGCGGGCAGCTTCATTGGGGATGTTCACTGGTGAAGGGGCCAAGGCAAAAGTCTCACAGCTGGGTTTGCATAGGACCACCTCAGTCTCCCCATTTGTGCAATGGGATAGCTGCCAGCCACCCCCTCTTGGAAGAGAGAAGGGCAGTTACCAGATGGGGGTTCCACAGGGTGCAGGGGATCGGGGGGTGACTGGCTATTCTTCAGAGACTCAGGCCATTGCAGGAGGCCAGGGTCCAGGCTGCACACGACCGTGGGTCACCAGCTTCCTTACACAGGTGGGGGTCAGCTCAGGCTTGGAGCACTCCACGTCCACGCTCACGAGCACCAGGTGTTACGCTTCAGGCACTGCCACTCACCACTGGCCACCATCACCAGGGGGCAGGTGCTGAGTGACCACTGCCTGGCCCGGGTGGAGCTGGCCCAGAAAAGCTTGAGCTGGGGGTAGGCACCACGTCCCACTCTTACTAACTCCGCTGTGCATCCTTATCCCATGACCCCCAGCCTCCCAGGAGAAGAGCTGTCTGCTGGGTCGTCTGGGAGCTGGGTCCACGATCTACATCCCCCTCAAGTCTATATCACAGGTGGTACAGGAGCTGAGGTACATATCTAGGGTGTTTGCAGAGATGAGGGCTTCTGAGCTGTGCCCGGAGTTCCAGGAACAAACCTGGCCACCATGCCCAGTGGAGCCCTATTATGGGGGAGCTGGGGGAGGGATCTGTTGTTCTGGAACCCCCACTCCAGCTTCACCATCAATAAAGTCTGAGCAGAATGCAGGGTCTAGCTGTTGTGCAAGGGGCTGGGGTGGGGCAGGCGCTGCGATGCTGCCCTAGGCACCCAGGACATCTGAGACAGACACAGGCTTATGGGAAAGGCTCCTGCCAGTCCCTCCTGGGGCCCCGGGCTCCCTGCTCCAGTCTGGCCTCTGGGGGCAGGAGGTGATGACTGTCCAGTTCAGGACAGTCTGCAGGGAGGTCCCTGAAGCTTCCTCCTCACCCTGCTTCCTGTTGGGTGAAGGTCAGGCGTCTTCCTGTGTCTCCCCACCTGGAAGTGAGACGTGGGGGAGCTCTCCGGGGACAGTGAGAACAGCTGGGGTCTCCAGCCCTGGTTTGAGACCCCAGTCCTACTGCTCACAGCTGTGTTCCATAGACACATTCTCCATCTGAGCCCCATCCTGTCCCTGTAAAGGGCTAGCCTCAGAGGACAAAACCTCCAGATGCCGGAGCCCAGGAGCCCCAAAGAAGGGTGATGTGACATTGGGGGCTCACAGATTTCCTGGTAGTTTTCATAATAATAAGTTAATTTTAATATGGCTTATCAACACATGTTACCCATTCGCCTCTACCTACTGTCATCCATTTATCTACCATCTATTTATGAACCTATTAATCATTATCTATTTATGAGCCTATCAGTCATATACCATACATCCACCCTATCATTTATCTACCTATCCATCTATCATCTGTACGAATGTATCAATCTACCATCTATCAATCTATCCATCTATTTATTCATACATGTACCTTATCTCCCTAACCTATTATCTATCTACTATCTTAATTAAACTGGTGATGTTGCAGCATAGAACAAGGCATCATAGGTGGTTAATCTTGACAAGTGAGTTATTTAAAGACAGGTAGCAGGTGAGCAGAAGCACAGACAGGAGGCAGGGCGGCTAAGGTCTTGGCTTTAGAACCAGCTGCTCGGGTCTAAGAGCCCATCGTTAGCCCCCATATGTGACGTTGGGCAAGTTCCTGAACTTCTGGGGACAACTGGAGTACTCAGCTCAAAGGGAATCCTGAGGTTCAAATGAGTTATTCAGGTAAAGCACTTAGAGGGCTGGTTGCCCTTTTCACGAAGTCACCTGCCTCGGAATTTCAGGCAGCACATGGATCTAGCCAAACATCTTGCCCACTAACATTTTACAGACAGGGAAACTGAGTCAGGGGTAGAAGAAGTCAGCAATAGGGTGGGGCCCAGTGAAAGGAGGGCCCAGCAACCCCTCTGCCCTTCAGAGCTGGGCAGAATAGAGGGGAGATGACGGAGCCCCCACCCCCAGGTGAGACAATGAGGGCCCCAGACTCCAGCAGTGCGGCTTCCTTCCTGTCTCCACTCATTTCCCCACTGTGTCCTGGCCCAGCTGGCCCAGGAGCCCCTTCCCGCCCCCTCCTACGAGACGTTTGGCCTTTTGTGTCAGCCAGGAGGTCCTGGGGGCTAGCGGATGGACGTGCTCCAGGACCAGGCTCCTGGCCTTGGGAAGGACGCGAGCGGCAAGAAAGGGGTTAACCCACAGACTGGGAATGCTGGGCCTGGGGTGGGGGCTCTGTCCTGCTCTGGAGGGGCTTGAAGCCCATGGGGGTCCCGTGCTCATGGTGGAGGCCCCTGCTTTGTGGCCCCAGCTGGTTGTTCACCCTCTTTTAGCTGCTGTTTCCCTACAGAAAAAGGTTCCCTTCATGATGAACTCTGCCTCCCCAAGAGCAATCAAAGTGGGAGAGCAGAAGAGTGTGAGAAGATGCCAGCCTTCCTTTCTTGCTAGGGGTGATGGAGACTTGGGATGAGCTGGAGCTCTGAATCAGAGAAGCATTTGCCTCTGAATTTCACTGGGCTCTACCCCAGCACCAGGCTGCAATGGACTCAGAGAAGCTAAGTGAGTTTGCCAAGGGTTGCTTAACAAATTAAGTCAAAAAATCCAGGTCACATACACACACATAAAGACACACATGCATGTTTGTGCACACAGGTAATTACATGCATTGAATGCATACGTGTCCCACCCATTGGCTCAGAGCTGTCAGCCTCCGGACCACTCCAGATTATAGCTACTGTGGGAGCAAATCAGACATGGGGTCTCAGACCCTGCATTCTTGGTTGTCACTCTCCCCATATGTGAAATGGGTTAAGGGAGTGATAATCTCAAATCTTCCTGCTTTGCCTATTCCATGGAGCCCATTGCTCTCAGCACACTGCATGGGTTCCCATCTGGTCTGACCCCAACCTCTCCTGTCTGTGACCTCATCCTTGACCAGTGCTACAGCCCCATGACCAGAACTGCCAACTGGTCCCTCAGCTCATGACACCACCTCTGGAAAGCACTCCCTGACTACTAGCTGGGGCCTGTCCCCTCCTCCCAATTGAACTGCACCTTCTGGAGTTTGGAGGGACCCAAAGACATTAACAGTGTCATGCCTCTGCTAAAGAATCCACAAGCAGAAGCTGTCCGCAGCCACTGCAGTGTGGGTTCGATCCCAGGCGGCTGACGAGAATCCCACATGGTGCAGAAGACCTTTCCTTTCTCACCCGCTGCTCCCCTCAGCAGTATATTTCATCAGTCTGCCTGTTCTGTTCCCCGCTCTGTCTCTGGTGAATCCTCTACCCTCCCGCACCTCTGGACTGTACCCCAGCTCTGGTATAAAAATAAATAAATCTTTAAAAAAAAAAAGAATCCACAAGTGGTCAGCCCCCACTCCTGAAAAGCTGAGCCAGATCTCTTAGAGGACATGTCTTTCCCTCAGTCCTCTGTGTGGTATTGGGAGGGAGCGCAGATCCATTGGGCTGGTTCTGTCTGGAGAAACAGCTTTCCTGGAGACTGTAGCCCTTGGAGGTGGAAGTACAGAGACTTCCCAATTCCACCAAATGGATAAAGGCACCGGGCGCTGGATGGTCAAAGAGAGTGTTCAAATATCCATAGGACCAGGAGAGCAAATGTGACTAAATGAGGCAGGCAGTACAGGGAAATAGGGACTGCTGGGGTCTGGCCAACAGGACAGCACACGCCCATCATCCTCAGTTCCTTCCCACTACACACACCAGGCAATGTGGGTACAGGGTAGGCTGATCTTCTGATTTAAAAAAGATCTAAAGGTATATTGACTGACAAATCTCTGTTTTTAAATTCTGGCCACATCAAAGAGACCTAAACAAGGTATTGATTGCTCAGCCTGCTGCCCCAGGAGTGACAGTTGAGACCTCTGCTTTAAAATCAACTTTTGCCTTGTTTTGAACTCTGCTCTGCCCCAAGGTAGGAGGGACACCTTTCTGCCCCCACCCTGTACTGAAGCTGAAGCCTCTCAGACCCAGCTAGAGTTATTCCTACCAGCAGAGGGCGCTCCAGATAACAGTTTCCTCAAGCCCAGTTCCAGGTAGCAGGGACCCACTTCCAGCAAAGGGACAGGATGGGGGGGGGTGGGTGGATCTTGTTCCCACATTATAACACTTTGAACCTGAGCCAGAGACTGAGAGGGAAAGTCAGGTACAGCCAGACCCCATCTGTTCTCCACTGCAGAACCCATCAGCAGGCTAGAAAGAGAGCCTAGAAACCACCCTTAAGGCATCGTGATCTTGGACTTCCAGCCTCCAGAATTGTGAGAAATAAATGTCTCCTGTTTAAGCCCCCCCATCTGTGGTGCTTTGTTATAGCTTCTGGAACCAACTAAAACAGTCCTGTTCTCAGCAAACCCCGACTGCACCCCCAGAATTGCTGGGTTTTTTTTTTGCATTAAGGCATCAGGTTTGCCTGTTTTAGAACTTCTTTTCAATGGAATCATCTGTGTTCCTTTTATACTAAATGCATTCTCCCATGTGCACATAAAACACTGAAATGTCCTTGTATTACTGTTATTTAAGAAATCATTACTGTTATTTAAGAAATCATGATTCCACAGTTGCTATGGAATCATGAAAAGGTTTGGGAAATTGGTGCTGGTGGTTGCATAACATTGTGAATATATGTAATGCCAATGGACTTTATACTTCAAAATGGTTATAATGGCAAGCTTTATGTGTATTTTACCACAATTGTTAAAAATTAGTCATGCAATATACCAAAACTTATTGAATTATACCTTAAATAGGTAAATTGTATGGTGTGTGAATTCTGTCCCAATAAAGCCTTTTTTTTTTTTTAAAGAAACTCATCGTGAACAGTGGTAGCCAGGGGTTGGTTAAAAATGGCTTTCCTGGTCATGAGGCTGCTCTGTGTAGAATGTGGTGGAACAGGACTCAACTGGGCACCACAAAGATTAAACTTCACCTAAGCAAAGTTGAAAAATTAACCAGTATGTCAGGGAACCTGGGTGGAATGCAGTAACAATTGATCCTTGTTGATTACAAATGTGCGACATCACCTCAGTGAAAGGAATGGAAACAAGAGGCTGACCTAGATGGTTTGGGACCACACTGGCTTAGCTACTGGAAGGTCAAGTGTATAGACACTATGTTCTTGGTGAAGTTTGTTTCTCTCAGAGATGCTATTCAGGCATTCTGAGACTACTGAATAAAAAAGTAAATAAATTGTAGAAAATAGGTTTTGGTTTCTCACTGTCAGAATAAAAAGTTAAAAATCAGCAAAGATTGACAAGTGATGTTGGGAAAACTGGATCATCACATACAAAAAATCTGGATATCCACATACAAAAGGTAAGCTGGATCCCTACCTCACGCCGTATG